TACAGCGAGGCACCGTAAGAAAACTGCTGCTCAGGGAGCTCACGCGGGTTGTTTGAAGGCTATTTATTGTGTATATTTTGACCATTTGCGTTCTTAACAGTTACGAAGCTTGAATCTGCCTCCACGGTGAAGAGTTCAAAATCCAACCAGAGCAGAAATAAAACGCTTCCAAATCAAGATGGCTCTTCGCTGTCAAATGGACACGATCTGCGTTGAATGCTGTCAAACCGAGCTGGTGGGATTTCAGTCCGCCGCGGAGACAAAAAGATATTCCCTGCCCAGCTCCTGCACCCAGAAATGCTAGCCGGACACAACGGAGTCCAAACTCAAAGGAGCGTGGACGGGCGTCGTGATCACCCCCTGCAAGCTCCAAATAGCCCGCCCATTATTTCAGAGCCGTGAGCAATGCCTTGCCAGCTGTTTTGGCCCCCACAGGGAAATTTCTGGCTGCTTAAGGCTGGGCGTATTGGAAAGGAACTAAATCAGCTCATCCCCTCCCCCCCCCACCACCACCAACATGTGCAGATATCTGAGGTGGTGGGATAGCCCGGATTACAAGTAAACAGGTGTGAATCCAGAGTGAGTCCATTAACTACCATGCAGTTTTCCAGGGGGTGGCTCAAGATTTACACCAGGGGAGCTGAGATTAGCTGGCCGTGACCCCATTGCAGCCCAGGGGTGACTCCCGATTGACCCCCAGGGGTGCTGAGCTGAGAATCTAGCTCCCCCGGAAAGACCCAGTCATATAAATCCCCTCAGCATTCACCTGCCGTGAGATCTTTGGAAACCCGAAAGGGGGCAGAATACCCCACATAGCCCAGTCTGATTCCCGACTCCCTGCACCCACTCACTCTCTCTAACCACTAGAGCCCACTCTCCTTCCAGAGCTGGGGAGAGAACCCAGGAGTCCGAGCTCCCAGCCCCCCTGCTCTAACCCACTAACCCCCACTCCCCTCCCAGAGCTGGGGAGAGAACCCAGGAGTCCAGGCTCCCTGGCATTACTGCCTTCCAGACACTAAATACTGATTTCAGTCTCTGTTGAAGGAGAAATCCCCACACTCTTCCCCAAGCTGGAGATGGAACCCAGGAGTCCTGGCTCTCAGCCCTTCCTGCTGTAACCACTAGACCCCACTCCCCTCCCAGAGCTGGAGATGGAACCCAGGAGTCCTGGCTCCCAGCCCCCACCCAAGCAGGGTAGGCTGAGTGTGCATGAAGGGAATGGGTGGCTGAACATTTTATCTGCCTCTTCCTTTGCAAAGCACCATGGGTACTATAGCTTCTGCAACAGGGCATTGTGGGAATTGTAGTCCTAACAGCAGAAAGGCAAACCATTAGGATTTTGCCTCATCCCCAGGCCCACCTAGTGAATCGCCAGGGATGGGCTGGAGCGAGCCCCGCCCCAGCCCAAAAGGAGGAGCCACTCGACCCAGGCCACAAGAGTTGGAGGGATTCCCAGGCCCAAGTGAGAGACCAGACCTGCCACATGTCTCTGGGGTGATGTGTTAATCCTGAAACCTAATAATGGCAACATAAACACTGGGGCTTTCCATTATATTTCACTGCCAGATAGTCGGGTCAGGGACGCTCCACTGCTATAAGGACTGGGAGTCAGGACTCCTGGGTTCTATTCCTAACTCGGGGAGGGGAGGTCAGTCTAGTGGTTAGAGCCAACAGCGGTCACTAGAACTTAAGAGTTTGAACTATCAGCTCCCCCACCCTGCTCAAAATCCACTAGACCCACTCCCCTCCCAGAGCTGAGGACAGAACCCAGGAGTCCTGGCTCCCAGCCCCCCCCGTCCTAACCTACCATCTGATGGGAAGGGGACAGAGGGTAGCTGTGTCGTTTCTCATTCCCGTCCCACATGAGGCACCATCCCTGTTCGTGTCCCGCGCTGGGCTCCTGATCCAAACGCCAGGCGTGCTGCCCCCTATCTGGGGGAGTCCGGCAGCCAGACTCACCTGACCCACAACTCCAGAGCACGCGAATCCCCCCAGCTCGAGCCCCAGAGAGGGGGAGAGCTGGGGTGGGCGGGCGGGCGAGCAAGGAGCCCCCTGAGACGAGCGCTAAGTGGCAGGCTGGGCGAGGGGGACAGGGAAGGGGGTCACTCACACGGACATGGATGGGGGGAAGGGAGATGGTGACCCAGACTCCAACTTTCTAACATGGGCAACGTCGTCCAGCGAGGGAAAGCTTCACACACCACGTAATGGGCTGTGGAGTGTGACACCTGAACGAGATAGATAGATAGATAGATGAGAGGGGTGTGTGGGGATACAGAGATAGAGGGGGTGGATGGGGATGGAGAGATGGGTGGGGGGGTGGGGAGAGATAGATAGATAGATAGATGGAGAGATAGAGAGATAGATAGATGAGAGGGGTGTGTGGGGATACAGAGATAGAGGGAGTGGATGGGGATGGAGAGATGGATGGGTGGGGGTGTGGGGATAGACAGATAGATGAGAGGGGTGTATAGGGCCAGACAGACAGACAGTCCATTAGTCTCAGTGTAATTTACCCTTAGGCCCAGAACCTCAGGGGTGTTTAGGCCCCGAGCCCCCGTTGATGTCACTGACTCCAGGGGAGCTCGGTGGCTGCCCAGCACAGGGGCATGGAGCCAGAGGGCAGGTTCCCAACGTGCCAATGGGAGTTGGGAGCTCCAGGGCCCACGTGAGACAGGGTCAGTTCGAGGGCGCGGCCTCCTAGGCCTGGGTGGGGAACCTTTTTTCTATCAGGGGCCACTGACCCACATAAAAAAATCAATCGCTGGCCACACACAGCCCCGTGGGGGGGGGGGGGGGGCGCGGCACAGAGGGCTCGGGTCTTTCCGTAGGGTTGCCAACTTTCTAAAGGTACAAACCTGAACATCCTGGCCCCGCCCCTCCTCAGAGGCCCTGCCCCCCACTCACTCCAGCCCCCCTCCCTCCGTGGCTCACTCTCTTCCACCGGGCTGGGGCAGGGGGCTGGGATCCGGGAGGGGGTGAGGGCTCCAGCGGGGGCTGCGGGCTCTGGAGTGGAGCCAGAAATGAGGGGTTCAGAGTGCGGGAGGGGGCTCAGGGGTTTCGGGGGTGCGGGCTCCGGGAGGGAGTTAGGGTGCGGAAGGGGGGTCCGACCTGGGGCCGGGTAGGGATTTGGGATGCGGGCTTCGGCCAGGCGGCGCTTACCTCCGGCAGCTCCCAGTTGACGGCGCAGCGGGGCTAAGGCAGGCTCCCTGCCTGCCCTGGCTCCGCACTGCTCCCGGAAGCAGCCGCTGTGTCCAGTCCCTAAGCGGAGGCACCACCCCTGCAGCTCCCATTGGCCCCGGTTCCCAGCCAATGGGGGCTGTGGAGCCGGCGTGCGAGGCGGGGGCAACATACGGAGCTTCCCTGATCGCTCCTGTGCCTAGGGGCCGCAGGGACATGCCGGCCACTTCTGGGAGCCACGCGGAGTCAACCGGACTTTTAACGGGCTGGCAACTCTAGCTTCCCTCCACAGTGGGGCAAGTTCGCGCTTGTGGCTGCAGCCCCGCTTGGGGGAAAGGGGGGGGCCAGGCTCAGGGCTTCCGGCCCGCGGCATGGAGACTTGCCGCAAGCCAGATGAAATTAAGCAGAGGGCGGGATCAGTTTCCGCATCCCTGTCCTAAGCCCTACAGTAACACAAACACTAATAATACTGATTTTGAAACTGAGGCTTCTAAACCCCCTAGGCCAGTCTGCCACTGTAGCCTGGACACCTCAGCATTTGAGGCAGTTTGCTGGGGGGGGGGAGGGGGGCGGATTCCCATAGGGTGGCGCAATTCCCATAGGGTGGCCCATGACTGTCCTTGGCACAGATCTTTCTGCTGCCCAGACCCCGGCCAAGATCAGGGCCCCGTCGCGCCCAGCGCTGCACAGACCCCGACCAAGATCAGGGCCCCGTCGTGCCAGGCGCTGCACAGACCCCGACCAATATCAGGGCCCCGTCATGCCGGGCGCTGCAGAGACCCCGACCGAGATCAGGGCTCCGGCGCGCCCGGAGCTGCACAGATCCCAACCAAGATCAGGGCCCCGTCGCGCCGGGCGCTGCCCAGACCCCAACCAACAGTGCTCCACAGTGAGAGACCGGCCATGCCCTGCAGAGCCCACACGCTAAACAGACAAGACAAAGAGCGGGAGGGAACCAGAGGCACTGACCGGAGAAGCTACATGCCCAAGGTCACCCAGCAGGACAATGCCAGGGCCAGGGAGAGAACCCAGGAGTCCTGGCTCCCAGCTCCCACTGCTCTAACCCACTAGTCCCCACTCCCCTCCCAGAGCTGGGGAGAGAACCCAGGAGTCCTGGCTCCCAGCTCCCACTGCTCTAACCCACCAGCCCCTACTCCTCTCCCAGAGCCGGGGAGAGAACCCAGGAGTCCTGGCTCCCAGCCCCCTCTGTTCTAACCCACTAGTCCCCACTCCCCTCTCAGAGCCGGGGAGAGAACCCAGAAGTCCTCCCCCTGCCTCAAACCAGAACCACCACCCATATTTTTAACCCAGCCTCCTAATTAACCGATGGAGCCGCTTGCCACGGGTGCTGGTGGATTCTCTGCCGCTCAGAGTCCTTAAACGACAACCCGGCGTCTCGCTCGAGCTCGACCACCAGCCATGGGCTGGATGCGGGAATCACAGGGCGAGGTTCTCTGCTCTGTAAGTCAGATCACGATGGTCCCTTCTGGCCGTGTCATCTGCCATCGGTGCTCTGAGAGCCTCTGTGGCTCATACTCAGCTGCGTCAAGGTTAGACTCCATCTATGAACCCCACCAAAGCTACCACCTACCCCCCCCTCATCGTCCCTTCTGAGCCTAAAGATCCATGAAACCTCCATGGTCCACCATGGCTCTGAAAACCCATAACCCCTCGCCCAATACTTCCCCATGGCCCTACAGAGCCATGCTTCCTAAGCTACAACTAACCCCATAACTAGCTCCACCGCCCCCTGCCGTCCCCCTCTATAGCCGTGGCCAGCCACAGACCCGCCGTCTCCCCTGCGGCCCCGCCCCGCCCGCTCATGCGTGGAGTTTCTGGTGGGCCCGGAGGTGAGTCCGAGCCCGGAAGCTCTTCCCGCACTGGGTGCAGGGGTACGGGCGCTCCCCGGTGTGGATCCGCAGGTGCTGCCGGAGGTTGGAGCTGACGGTGAAGCCTTTGCCGCAGTGAGGGCAGGGGAAGGGCCTCTCCCCGGTGTGGGAGCGCTGGTGGATGAGGAGGTGGGTGCTGACGGCAAAGGCCTTGCCGCACTGGCCGCACCGGTACGGCTTCTCGCCGCGGTGAGTCCGCTGGTGCTGGGCCAGGTTGGAGCCGCGGCTGAAGGCCCTGCCGCACTGGCCGCAGCGGTGCGGCTTCTCGCCGGAATGGGTCCGCTGGTGCCGAGTCAGGTTGGAGCGCAGGCCGAAGCGCCGCCCGCACTGCGCGCACTGGTGGGGCCTCTCCTCGGTGTGGCTGCGCCGGTGCTGGGCCAGCTTGGCGGCCTCGGCGAAGCCAGCCCCGCACTCGGCGCAGCGGTACGGCCGCTCCTCCGTGTGCCCGCGCAGGTGCACCAGCAGGTGGGAGC